TTTTTTTTTTTTTTTTTGTCTTTTAGAAATGAGAATTTTCTGATAATTTCATTCAACCAGAACTTGTTTGGTTCCTGCTGTGTGCCAAGTTCTCTTCCAGGCACAGAATATAGTGTGAAGAGAACATACAGACACCCCTACCCTCGTGGAGCTACACTCAAGAATGAGACAGAACATAAGATAAATAAGAAAAATACAGCGAGGGTTACAGGTGACTCAGGGACAGAGGTGCAGTAAGAAAGCAGAATATAAAATGTTGGGAAAAGGTGAACTTTTAGATTAGGTGATCAGGAAGGACTCCTTGAGAAGGTGACTTTCGATTAAATAATTTAAGAAAAGGAACAATCTAGTGATGTGAAAGCGTAGAGGGAGATCATTCCAGGCAGAGGGACCAGTGAGTACAAAGGCCCCAGGATGGGAGTGTGCCGTGAGTGGTTCAAGGAGTATCAGGGAGGCCTGCAGCTGAGCATAGCAGGAAATGAGACGGAGACGTAATAAGAAGACCAGACCACATGCAGCCTTTTAAGTCACTGTAAGAATGTGGGTTTTAAATCTGAATAACGAGAAAACATAGGAGAATTCTGAGCAAAAGAGTGAGATGGTCAGGATTGCATTAAAATAGTTCCTGCTGTTGAGAATAGACAGCAGATACAGGGAGGCCTTTAGAAGGCTGTTGCAGTAATCCTGGGGACAGATGATCAACATCTCAAGATCCACAGACACAGAGGGGAGGGGAGGGGCTCAGATGTGGCAGGAGCCAATGTTCCCACTGCCAGAGCCCACCTGCCACTAAGGGTGAGATCACCAGGAGCAGCGACCATTCCTTAACCATTACTGTATCCCCAGTGGGAAACGCACTATCAGGCACTCTCTAGGTGCTTAATTTCGGTTGGTTAAATGTTGCAAAACAAAAAGAAATGTGAAACCAGATTTCTGTCCCATGGCTGCCTCCTGTTACAAAACACTCTCCTCACCACTCTTGGCACTCAATTATGTTCTCTTACTTATTTATGAATTAGCACCTTCAACATGTGTTGATGTTCTAAGAATGCTTCAGTTTTTACTGACCTACATTAAGTTAAAGTGATGGAATAGTACAGATTCCATTGAACCATTTCTTTCTATCTCATACCTTTATGAACTCAAAGTACTGTTATCACATTTTATTTTTACTTTTGTTGTTTTTTGTTGGGTATTTATTTTATTATCTTGTTTTAATCTCGGTAAATTTAGGGGGTACAGTGTTTTTTGTTACATGGAAGAATTGTATGATGCTGAAGTCAGGGCTTTTAGCGTAACCGTCACCAGAATAGTGTCCAAAGCCTAAGACTGATTGCTGCTGAATGTATTTTTTTTTTTTCAGGGAACAACTTAATTCTTTATTGAAGACCTATAACATTTTTTATGGGAACCAGAAAAATCTACATATTTTATATGAGCAGGTAAGCTCATCAAAGAAATACAGTGCTGTTTGATTCACAAAAATATATAGGGGAGAAACAGGTGAATGTTTAACTTGATTATGATTTTTATTTTTAGACTACATCACAAAATCCCAGGCTTGGAACATTTGTGACTCTCAGGGCATTTTTGAGATAGGAAAGCATTTTAAAACAATTTTAATGACATGTTTGCCTTCTGTTTTAAAAATGGAGTATGCATATCTTTTGAGTGGCAATTGAACTAG